AAAAAGAAAATATAATCTTTCTAATTATTTCATAATTTTAATGAATTAAATGATAATCATTAAAAAAATAGTTACTTGATTTCTAATGAAATCTGACAGATTTTTATTGTATTAAACAATTTGTTTCATAATAAACCATTAACAAAAAATAATCAATAAAATAATGTCCAATTGTTCATAATAAAAAAAAACAATACACAATGTTTAATTAAATAATAATAATAATAATAACTCCGCTTAGAGCCCATCCGGGGCTTCTGCCGGTCCTAAACCCGGATAAAGTAGGAGGGTTGGGCATAGGATTAGCGATCCCATACCATAGAAAACTAACTCGCCAATAAACGTCAACCAGAAAAATAAGTAGAAGTAATAATGATAGTAGTAGTATAGAATTTTCATTCGTTTTATTAACAATAAAAATTAAATAAAAAGAAATCAATAATCTTTGAAAATTATTCACAACAAAAAACTGAATGGAGAATAAAGGTTAACAAACAAGAAAATAATAGTGATCACTTAAAATGATATGTTGTTTGTGTTTTATCTATTGAAATAATATTGTTATAGTTGATTGAATTGTGTCTGGTTTTCTTCTGTCATTTTCTTTTTTTTTCTTTTTCTTATTTTTTTTTTTTCGTTTTCTTCTTATTATTCACTAACAAGTGTTAATAACAGACGTCGATAATCTCCACTGGTATCATCCTAAAATTAATATGTAAACAAGAAAATATCGTTAATTTTGATCTGATTTACTATGTACACAGCATCATATAAACTGAGCTGTTAAAATGTTCAATTATAATGTAAACAAAGGTCAACTTTACAGGGATTTAAAAAGTCAATCTCTAGTTTGATACTAGTGACCTGTATATTTTGCAGAAATTAAACAATGTTCTTGTAGTACTAAGATCACTTAACTTATTCTAAGTTCCGGACAGTCCGATTGATTCATTCTTCTTGAGTCACATTTTGACCATGTCAATTATTCACTTATCAACCTTGACTGTTTTTATATGAGCGTTTGTGTATGAACTCCTTATCGTATTCATCGCATATTTGTAACTTATTATTGTTTGGCTATAAATATTGATTAAGGCTTGATTAAATTGAGTTGGCTCACACGTCTTTTCTACTACGTGTCATTTCGCCTCACTCTCTTCGCTACACTTCGTTTCTTTACTCGTTTGTCTGGATCGACAATTGTGTGAAACATACGTATCCAAAATTATTTCTCGTATTTAACTTATTTAATTCAGTTGTTCACCAATGAGATTTCAGTCGATGATAATATACAAAGATAGGCGACATGTATATTTCGATAACAAGCAGCATATGATCGAATTGGAGTCGGATTTAGGGTCATTAAATTCTCATATGACTAATTGGTAATATATATTGAGCTATTTTTGTTACATTATTCGTTACAATATTGTATGTACACTTTTAACTTGAACATCAAGCAAAATCACTCTCCATACTCAGTACATGTAGACCTCTATAATTTTCTTTTTTAGAAATACAAAATGGTTATGCGGTAAAAGAACTCAGATTTTCATATGGGACAAATTTACTGTTAAAAAAGGTCATCACTTTAAGGGGAACAAGATTAATATTTCCTAAATTTTATAAAATGATGTTTTTATGACATCAATTTATGTATTCATTGGATTAATTACATATACCCATAGATAATAAAATAATATTTGGAAAAATTTATCAATAGATAAACTTGTTAGATTTAAGACATTCAAGTATTTCAACTAGGCAATATTTAATATACACTATTCATTGGTGTTAAGTGATTAAAGGCAATCAACATCATACTCTACTTAACTTAAGTTTGATTCTGTAATTCACAGTTGTCAACAAGATGTATGACCAGTTATGAAGCATCATGTAATATCACGATCAAAAGTGTCATAAATGAGTTATTCAAGACATCATGTTAGTGATTACCAGTATATGTTTACCGGTTACTGGTTGAGAGATAATCATAATCTACAAGCAAAGATGGAGGGTGACTGGCAGCGAAATCCAGGACGAGCGCTTCATCCTATTTGGGGCTCGTCAGCTGTATGTAGGTATGCCAGAGTTGATGTTCACTCTGGGACTCGGAAACCAATACCGTTCGTTTCAATCGCCATCGCGTTAACCACTATTCTACTGAGTCCTGATGGCCACTTGCTTGTGCAATAGGGTAAAGTTTTAATTCATCGACTCTGAGATGTAGGTACATCCAACTGACGAGTCCCAAATAAGTCGGAACGCGCGTCCTGCATTCCATTATTAACCACTATCCATCTTTGTTTATAAAGCTTGTGAATCAAGGCAATATCAAGACAGTCAACAGAGGATGTATATATGCCGACAAGAGACTGATCTATTGCAGTCCTAAATAACAATGGGGAGATTCAAGTAAACAATGCCCAGTGAATTTAATCACAATCTACGTTTGAATACTTTTAATGATATATATTAAAGTTGATGAGAGATACCCCTATGCTGTAATTTTAGCCTAGTCTTAAGCATGTCATTATATGATCTTTATTCTAGATCTTAACTATTATTTTCACCAAAGTTGACATAATAATAATAGTAATTATTATTATTATTGTTTTCCTGCGTTTACTTTTTCCTCTTGTTACTATGCCGATAACAAAGAAGATGAAAAAATCAAACTGTCAAGCATAATTTGTGTTACGTTTCGTGTTGTGTTTTCTTTACTCCAATAAATATTTTAAAACTATCTAAAATAATAATAACTAAAACAATTAACTAGTAAACACTTCACATCATGCGTAAATTTGCAGAGAGAGAGAGAAGTAAGAGTACCTAAAAAGTTTAAACCATGTGATTCATTCACGGGCCTGGTTACCATTACTAATTTCTTATTTTCAACATCAAATTTTTTTGAAGTTCAGTGTTATTGATCCCGGATTACTTGATTAATTAAAGTTAGATAAATAATTATTAATACATATATTTTATAGTTGAATTCATGAGTCGATTGAAGGTAGAACACCGTGGAAAACCTGGAATCACTGGATGGCCGTTTTGTTGCATTGTGGGGCTCTTGCGCGCGAAAGCTTAACCTCTAGATCACTGAGTCGATATCAAACTGTATTAATATCTAACCTGAACAAATCCTCGAAATCGCGCAACCATCTTCCATTGTACTCAGGTAGATACCTGTCTTTTTCCGACACAGATTAGCTCCACTGGCCACGGCTTCTCACTAGAACTCCGGGTATTCACTCATGAAGCTAACCATTAGTAAGCATATGGCTAGTTTTCGCTACTAACATATTCATAGGTAATCTATAAATAATCGACTGAACGAATAATTTTTATAATTGTTTTAAGATTTTTTGTAGTTTTGCATTACTAATTGAACTTAGTTCGACAATCATTAGCAACCAGAAAGCACTGGATATCTATTTCATCCTACCATAGGACGTTACAACAATAAGCACGTCTGACCAAATCAGGGATTGGATTCATTCTTGAGGTACGTACTAAACCTTCATACCACTGAACTGGCATTCAATCAATTCATGATATTGTGAAATGCCATTTATGGATAAATCACTTTACACAAAATGTTTTATTATTGTTTATTTTTTAATAGTTGACGTTTAAGTCAACCGTGGCCTTTATTAAGATTTTCCTGTAAATGCAACATAAAATGCGTAGAATGGTTTTGTTTCTACTTAAAATAATCATTGTTTCTAGATTTTAAAAAGCTGGAAAAGAACCAATAATTAAACAGATTCATATTTTACTACGATTGCTATTCTTCAGCGACAAACTATCCTCACTTGAATAAATCATAATGCAAGAAATATTTATTCAATGTATAATAATGTTTCTTAAATACATAATATCTTGATGGAGTTTTGTTCTCTAAGCTGGATGGTTTGGTCGTGGATCTTTCGTCGTTTTTCTGAATGACATCATCACCAAAAACTTCAGGTAAAAGTGAAGTGTTCGAATTCATCCACATTTGGCTCACAGCTTGTCCTGTAGACTTCACTGTTGAGTGGTTCTTGTTGGTATTTAACCTCTCATTGTTTACTTCTTTGTTTTGGTTGTATCTTCCATTGGTTTGAATCTTGGTCCTATAGTTGTCCATGATATTTCTAACTGGTTGATAAATTGGATCCATTTCAATGTGTTTGTAGATTGCTGGTTGATGTGAGTGCCAAGTTTCTAAAAATTCTCTGGTATTTTCAGAATTGCCTCTATCCACGATTTCCACATTTTTCCGATCGAATATGTGTCCGCAGTTTTACACGTGCATTGATATAAGTGAGGATATGTCATGGAGTTTGACCACTAATTGATGTTCATGTAGGCGAAATGAAGAGGGCGTCTGCTTTGTCCGATGTAGTGTTTCTCGCAGTTGGCGCAATTTATTTTGTAGATGATATTCGGTTTTCCTTTTTTTATCATTTCATCTTTTGGTTTGCATAGAATAGATTGCAGCGATTTTGTTGATTTGTGTGCAACACTTATTCCGAAGGGTTTCAACAATCACGTTGTAGTTTCTGATATGTCTTTTATGTATGGTAGAGTGATCCGTTTGTTGGTTTCAGAAGAAGGATGAAATCTCCACAATCAAATTATCTAGCTCAGAGAACAAAACCCCATCAAAATCATCCACCTGAGCTAAAAATCTTCACCACACAAAATCTTATAGAAGAAAAGGGGTTTCCAACAAGTTATTTAATAAGTGTTCTTAAGTATTAATGATCATGCTTTATCTATTTAATGGTAACAACTCTCTATAGATTTAATACATTATGTTAAGAATAAATGTAAAGTTGATTATTCAAACTTACAGCTATCCAGGACTCAAGACTTTTTCCTGTTAAACTATGAAATTCTTTTTTTATACGAGCCATATCAATCCCAGAACGTCCGACAACTATACGTATCAGTGTTGAATCAGCTGTTCCAGCACCTTTCATGGAAGCTCTTAATTTTTCAGCAAAATATTTCTGTTTATTCGTAACACATCTCACTGAAATAAGAATTAAAAGAAATCACATTAAATCCATTTCTAAACAATTAATTGTGAACACAGGTCACTCAATCAGGACGAACTCTATATTCAAAGTCATCTACAAGGTAAGTAGAAGTTTTCTAAAGGCAATTATATTGCATCTTCCAGGCATTACCGAAGCGATAGCCATTCATCTGGGAAAACCAAAATTGATTGTCCAAAAGAAATTGGTATAACCTCTTCTTCTACCATGGTCTTAATATCTTGAAATTTTTTTATTCATACTCTTCTTCCTTTACAGCCATCTGCTTCCCCTTCTATCTTCTCCTTAAACCTTCTACTCACAATAGGTTTATTTTTGTTTCCGTGATACTCATGATTACATTTATTCTCAATTTCAACATTTTGTCTTATCATGCTGAACCATTCTTTCTCAATGATAATTGAACTATTTATCTCTTGACGAATATTTGAGCCATTAACAATCAAACGATTATTAAATTCACTTGGTGTTGTTTACTTATATCTTCCCATTGTTGCTTAGGACTGCAATTGATCAGCCCCTTGTTGGTATATATACATCCTATGTGGACTGCCTCGATATTGCCTTGAGTCACAAGCGTTATTAGCAAAGATGGATAGTGATTAGCAATGGAATCCAGGACGTGAATTTCGTCCTATTTGGGACTTGTCAGCTGTATGTACCTGCACCCCAGAGTTGTTGTTCACTCCGGTCTTCGAACCAAGTACCGTCTCAAATAGGACGAAAAGCTCGTCCTGGACTCCACTGCTAGCCACTTTCCATCTTTGCTTTCAAATGATTGTTACCTTCCCTGTTTAAAAATTTTTTTAATAGCTTGTTTATTCTACCTCACTGTCTTCACGTCTAACAGACTTTCATTATCATTTTTATCATTATTATTGTAATTATTACCATCCTAAAAATAAGTATATATATGTCATTGTACAGTTTTGAGAGTGAACTCACCTAAAAGAGAACTTTTCGCTAAACCAATCTTTCTTGTTTATTATCTTAATGGGTGTATTCCGTTTACTAACTGATTTTCCATTTGCATTAATGTTTTATTTGATAAAATATTGATTAATATCCAAAATGTTAAATCCACTGAATGTTCAAATACTTTAGGATATCATTATATCCCAACAAGATAAAGATTCTGTTCATATATTTCACCTATAATTAAAATTAGCATTTAAGGATTCCGGTCGATCATTTAGAAATTGTTCTACTCCAAACTCTAATTGGTGAGACTAATTTATGGACGACCTTTGAGCAACGTTAAAACGACCTTGAAAATGTCCATCTACGTACTAGGGCTAAATGAGGGTTACAAATAAGTGCGAGGAACTAGGATTAAGATTTGCAATTGAACGATAGGGTTAGAAATTATATCCAACATTTTTATCAGTAACTGACATCAGTTATAATGCCAAAATGGTATTTAGCCAAATGAGTGGGTGAATCTCGCACCAAGACCCAAGATTTGCTTTCTTAAATCTAATTGGTTTGTCCATAAATTATAGTCTTGTCATTACGGATTGACTTCGGTTTGATGATTAGGTTTCATTGGATAGTCATTCCATAAATTTAATGTTTTTTAAACAAATTTCACCTACCCGATAATAGTTATCAGTATATGAATAAAAAAAATTAGATTAAAACCGAAGAATAAATGACAAAGGCTATGTATAAACAGGTCCGAAGTGAAACTTACCAACAGTAAGCATAGCTCGAAGCAAATCTCCACTCATTTCAGATTTTAAAGCACTTTCAATATCTCTTCTACCAAGTGTTGTATAGTGCTGAAAAACTAAACGTAAGTGAGCATAGGATCGATGACAGATGACTTGGATAAATCTGTAGAGATAAAAAGTATTCAATTAGTTCTTGTAAAAAAGCAGTATATAAGTTTATTTGTCAATAAGTTTGCAATCAAATCAAACGGTAATTCTATCATTTTTGTAATTATTCAATCGAACAGTGACTGGTTATGACAATTGTAATGAAAATAGTTGGAATTCAAGCAATCAATACGTAAATACAAATTGTCTGACATTCAAGTTTGTCTGCTATTATATTCGATTGCCCTTATTCACATTTAGAATCCTGCTACTACCCAACAGATTTCGACTATCTATAAACAAGCAGGTGGCTATCAGGACGCGATGGCGTTTAAAGCGAACGGCACTGGGTTCAAGCCCGGAGTGAACATCAAATCTGGGATGCAGGCACATTCAGCAGATGAGTCTCAAATAGGGCGAAACGCGCGTCCTAGATTCCATTGCTAGCCACTATCCATCTTCTCATTATATCACATTTAGTTAAATATTTTAGAGTTTTAACAAAATATCTTCTGCATTGTATTATCATATTGGAAAGGGGAATCGAATGAATGCAAAGATCCAATACCGTTTTGGTGTGTATTACTGATGTCGACAAATATAAATAGTATGTGTCATCAATCGAGTGTGGAATACCAGGCGGCAGAAGATTTTGAAAATCGAAGAAAAGAAAATAAGTACAGAGAATGGTTGATGTGGAAACTAAGGAACAACAAAGTCTGAGACAATTGATGGACATTTTGCAAATTAAGTAATTGCTGTATTGTTCTCAAATTTTATCAAGAAAATCTACAATGTCGTATTAAAATACATTCGGTTGTCCCCTATTTGTATTCACATTCACTACACCGAAGGTCTTCACATAACATATGTCCACTGAATCATGTACACTAGTGATATCTAATCACAGGTTTCTCTAATCAAGTTATTAACATCTTTGCTCAGTTACTTGCGGACTTTTTTTAAAAGTCATCAGCTAAACTCGCACTACAGAAAAGATTGTTTTCAATTGATTTTGGAAATTATTCCACTTTATATCAATTCAACGTTTTTGTACAGTTTGTTGATTATTTTCATCAAAAATGGATATTTGTTGGAGAACTAGTGTAAGCTAAATAAAAGTTCAAGAAAACGGTTTCAATCCGTTTTAAGAAACCTTGACAGTACTTATTCACAACCCCAAACAAGTCTGAACACGAGTTTTTCTAGGATTTTGAGTAGTATGATATATTTATATTACTATTTTATAGTTTCATAGTTCATATTTTTAGCCCTAATCGATTTGTAACTGTGTGACTATCATGCAATGCTATCGATGACACGTTACTGTATGATTCACAAAATGACTGAACTTCGCCGATCATGAGGGCTTAACAGAACTTCATAAATTCCTTGTTGAAACCGTTCGCTACCTTTTTATATTTATCATATTTCAGTTGAATTTTGTAAGTAGAAAGAACTCGAACCACTGATGCTTCATCTATCAATTTTTGCTATTCATATGTGACTAACAACACATCAATTTCAAGTAAATTCAACATAACCATAAATACAATTGATTTCAATTTAGAAAATTTTGGAATACTCGAATGAAGCAATGAAATTTGACATTTCATTGAACGGAATTACACAAAAAGAACATTAGAAGCAAATGCACTTATATTTCTATGCTACCTATCGGTCCTTGCCTTGATCCCTTGCACTTTCGTGAATATGTACTACTGAGGGGCGTCAGACCAGGAAAAAAAATGAATATCAACCGAGTGTAATTCTATTGTCTATGTGTACAGACCTTGAACGGAATCACTAAGGTCATATATATACATATATATATAATATTCACTAGTGCATTATCATGTCAAATACACAACTCTTTCATTGTGTGTCTGTCTATCTAAAAATATCTGAGTGATTTACATTGATTATTGGTTTAGATACATTCAGACTAGGTGTCATGGATTCCACTGCTACCCTATATCCATATTTGCTTATTACTCTCATTACTTTCATAAATTCCCATCAGGAAATTTAATTTTTGTAACATGTCGATTACATTAAAAGTTAAACTGTGACGGACAAACCAAAACGACAATTATGAATACACTTTGTAATCATAATTCAATTCTATACATCTATAACAAAAAATATTGACAAATTAAAAAGAAATATCAGTATGGGGTTGTAAAGTTTATTAAGTTTTTGATTTAGATAATGAAGCGATTGATATTAGACCACCACTGAAAACCTGGAAGCACGGGACGGCCGTTTCGTCTTATTGTGGGGACCCCTTAGCGTTGCGCATCCATGACAGTCAACAGTTTGATTTTCAATAAAGAGAATAATCCATTAAAAGTGATGATTCATGAATAAACTTAATCTTTAAAGTCAGATAGAAATTCAGAAAGATAATATCTCTGATGACCAGTACGTTTTCAGAAAGAATATTTAATATTATGTTATAACGTTGGTGATGATTCATTAAAATCAAGAAAAAAGATATTCAGAGTTCAACTGTTTAATCAAGAATTCGGTATCAATATTCATGACATATATTGACATAAATATAGCATGTGAGCAAGTGAAGGACTTAAAGAAATATGAAGTGACCTATTACATATATGATGTGAAAGTGTATGTCTATACTCACTAGTCAGTCACGATTAATATGACTTGGAATTTCATGTTAACATAGACAGTTTGTATAAAGTCTTTAATTTGAGAATATTTTAAATCACGGACCCAATTTTGTTAGACATCAGGATGTAATTGACACTTGCTTAATCCAGTTATGATACTCCTTATCATTACGGACACAATAACTACATGAGCGTTCAAATAGAAGATCTTCAGGTCTCGTGCTGAATGCATTAGCTTTAGGCTTTTAAGTTCGCGTAGTTCAGAATCTCAACTACAGTGATGTGATGATATTTTATTACTATCATTCATCTACCTAAAGTCAGTCTGTAATGTCAACTACAAAGATTTGATAATCATAAGTAATAATAAATGAACCTGTAAAACAATAAAACTTTCCTTCAGAAAGACAACAAGAACAAACATTTTTAACAAAAAAAGTGTAAATGACTATAGTGTAAAGTTATTTTAAAACAGAAATATCTATATAAGGGGAATATTTCATGTAAATTACTGAACAAATTATTAACTTACTTTGATTCATCTGTTCCCCATCTTTGCTCTCCAGCTTTATATAATTCTTCTGCATCTCTACGTGCTCGACACTCATCAACCTTTGGACTTTCATCTCTATCCGCTTGTACTAATGCTACTAAGATACGTTTGAAATATCCGGATGTTTCATCTTTTAAATCTCTCTCGAGGTAACGACCTTTGTAAACTATTTAGAAAGAAAAATGATTATAATATTGATTGATATCGTCTATATTAAGAGTTCACATTTAAAGTTATTAGTCCATGAAGCAAAGATTATTCCACTTGAAATTTTGTCTCATATAATCAGAATTGGCGTATTCAACGACTTATTGTGCTAGTTCATCAATCAGTATAAAGTACTCAATCATTCCCCTATTGTATTTTCTTAAATTGGTTACAAATGTAGATAATCAATAGTATTTCTGCTAAATAATAACTCTTTAGTTGTTTATATAGTAAGTAGGTGTACGAAGTTCGATTATATATAACTTACAATCTAACAGTATTTGTTTTTGCAAATTAGATATAAATAAGTCAAATATAGCTAGGTCATTCATTAAGTTGGCTTATTGTGCTGAACAGTATTCAGATGCCGATATATACGCTTTCTGTACGTCATTCTAACTCACTACTTAAATGAAAGGAAAGGAAGTGGGAAAACCCGAATCGAAATAAATACACAGATTCATTCATAAATTTTAGCCGTATCCTTCGAATAATTAACTTAAATTTCGACCAATAATGTTTTCTCGTCAGCAAATCACACTTATCTATTAGCCATGAATAAATTTTTTTCCGATTGAATCCAATAAAGTTCCAGGTCACATTAATTATGCGAAATTCTGTATTCTGTTGCACATAAACTGGGATCTCATAGTTGGAATGAATATTGTTCTTTTTTTCATCCGATTCATAAAAGGACGATTCAGAAACTAAGCATTGTAACTAAATAATACAACAAAGTAACTTGTACAGAAGATGCTTCTTCCAAACATGTTAGTTTATTGTGTGGGGCTTGTATTTAAATGCATAAAATGTTTATTATTTATGAGTTTAATGTAACTCATCATATTTTAAAAGACTCTTCAAGTATATTTGGATGAAATAAGCATGAAGGCTGGCTTCGAGATGTCGGTTTCATGCCATGACCAAGACCTCTCTATTTTATAGTAAAAACAATCAACTGTTCACTGGTAATTAGTTTGAAGATTAATTATACTGAAGATTCTACTGGAAAGCGTGATATGTGGAATCTCTTAAGTTCATAGTAACTCAATTATTGCTTATAATATGACATTATAATGCTCCTGTCATATCACAAATGAAAGTTTATGATTCTAAACTTTTCAAGTATAATTCCGTTGATGTTTCAATTACTTATTGCTGAAAATTCCCAAACTATAATGGAATAATCTATCCAATCCGTTCCGATTGTTAAAAGTTAGCCTGGTAATATCAGGATATAAAAAAAGGTTTCTATGGTCTTTCAATATATATATATATATATATATATATATATATATATATATATATATATATATAATTGTAAAAGCAAGGAATTTACTCACTTCTTGAATAAGCTTCACAAATCTCCCTTATTTGTTCATTCGTTCGAGTGCATAAAATTTCAATCAAAACTTCTTCATTTGTACCAGCACCACGCATTGCTTTACGTAATTCTGTTGCATCGAATTCCGATGGAGATCGACATAATGCTACCATACATTCATAAAAGTGTCCACTTAATTCAGAATCAAACTTAGAAGCTAATTCTTTTCCGAATATTGCTTTATATTTTTTTGCTATTATAACACGTTGTTTAGGACTTCTACGACCCATTACTTCTATTAATTCTTTTTCATTTGTTCCTAAACCAGCCATTGCTTTTCGTAAACGTTCACAATCTTCTTCTGGATCAAAATTTGCTGCATCTTTGACTGTTGGTTCAAACTAAATAGATGATGAAAAAAGGCTGATTTAAATGGATACATTTGTAAGAGTCAATCAATGCTATGTGAATGAATGTAATTACCATTTTTATATTGTCATGATTTTGTACATATCACCAGTTTTCTCGTGGTCACCGTAAGACCTGAAAATTTCGCAACATTACTATATGTATAATTGAAGGTGCTGCCCAATTCTTCTTCATTTTCAGTGGTTTCCAACGAACATTTAATCGTAAGATGGTGGTTGGAGGTAGTCAACAGGAAACCCTGGACCTAGGTTTCGCGTTACTTGACACTCGCCAGCAAGGTGTACCTGTAATCTTAAGGGAACTGATGCGCCCTGACGGATTCAATCCCGTGTCACCCAGCTTCACAGTCAGAGACGTTTAATCTTAATAATAATTACATTCAAAATACTGTTTTATTGAAAATACTAAATCATAATCAGATTTTTTTCAAGGCAAACATCTAATATTTTTAAGCGAAGATGGATAGTGGCTAGCAGTGGAATCCAGGACGCGCTTTTCGTCTTATTTGGGACTCATCAGTCCTAATCATCAATGGGAAGATTCAATTAAACAATACCAAGTGGATTTAAAGTTCACCCCATTACACAAGCAAGTGGCTAACAGGACTCAGTAGCTAAGTGAATAAAGAGGTGGAGTCTGAAGTGAAGTGTACTGAGTTCGAGTCCCAGAGTAAACATCAACTCTGAGATGCAGGTACATACAGCTGACGAGTCATAAATATGACGAGACGCGCGTCCTGGATTCCACTGCTAGCCACTATCCATCTTTGTTCATAAAGCTTGTGATTCAAGGCAATATCGAGGCAGTCCACATAGGATATACATATGCCAATAAGAGACTGATCAATTGCAGTCCTAATCATCAATATGAAGATTCAAGTAAGCAATACCAAGTGAATTTGGTGTTGGTTTAGCAGAGCTGAAATATAGAATCTGGAGTTGAAAGTCGAATTATTTCTATTTTACCTAATAAGTGGCTGGTTCGAACTCACTTGAATTTATGTAGACTTTACACAAAATGTACTGCTTAAATTTGAATATATAAGGATATACTCGTCATATAAATGACATCTTAAATCCGATAAGACAACTAGTTCATTATAATAGAATATATATATATATATATATATATATATATATATATATATATATATATATATATATATTGAGGATATAAACTGAATATCAATTCAGTCGTACTGAAAATCCCTACTTCGTTATTAACAACCAAGGAATTTTATTTAATATATCTCATTATGATAAAATAGTGTCCCTTTAAGTAAAACAACAAGATTCAAACTGATGAATTGTAGGTCTAAACTCCGTTCCATGTACTTCTGTTGAGCAACTGGGTAGTATAACTAGTTTTCATAGTAAATAGTGTGATTTAAGACCAAGTTCATATTACCTGTACATGACAGGTAAGTTACATTTGATGAAGTACAAATAAATTTATGTTCATCAAAGTACTATTACAACAATAATAACTTAACGAAATCAAGTCGAACTCTCAAACTCTAACAAATATTTTCTTGATGAGTTACAATAATCCCGTCCCTATGGAATATACATAAACGCGCTAACAATCAGTTTATATCTATACTTACAAATGTAAGATCAAAGTAGATATAATCAGATGGAAAGAAGACTGAACTTATATAAATAGGGTAAAACAGTTAGTAAATCCATTTCTGTGCTACTTATGAGATCATTCTACACTCATTGAAAATAAAGTGATAGATAGAGATATTACAGTTGTAGTTTAGCTAGGAAAACAACTCACTATCATACTACTTAAGTTTGATTACAGTGTGTTGAAAACATTAATGATTATTAGAATATCATTTTACGAGATAAATGATGTTGCTCTAACTAAAATGAAGTGAAAAATGAATAAAAAGTCAAAAATACTAATGTATCGGTTCATCTTAGTCTAGAATTTCTCAGAATATTGAGATCGTTACTTCAAATGATATCAAGGAACTTGCATATACATTTCCGATATTGAAATTAGAAGTTTTGACTAGTAAAATTCAAACATGTCTAGAATGGCATAATTATGACTGGATGACTCTCATGTTTTATTACAAATCGTTTGAAATTAAAAATATGAACTACTGAATCCAAACTCACCAGATTTAATGGCATCGTATTCACTATGAGAATCGAAGGTTTTGAGTTTGATTACATATGAAATTATCGATATATAACACTGAAAGTTCAAGCTCCGAAGGTATGGCTTTCCATAGCTCATAATGTTTAATGAAGTTATAGATTGCACCAGTCTATCACGAAAATAATCTTTCAAGTGAATGAAACAGCATAAACTTTCCAACTAGTCTAGTGAAGTTTTATGTATTTGCTCTACTAACCGACAATATTAGGAAAACTAGTGAAAATCAGGAAGCACTAAACGGCTATTTCTTTCTAGCATGGGATTCCACAGCATTTTTCATTCAAAACTCTACATGACATCATACTCAGGACCTTCAAAATCCCCAACCAGCGCTGAGGTGAAACATCAGTTAAATAAACTTCCTGGTTTTCAATAATTATCTAACCACGTTCAATTCACCTCTAAAATACTCGGTAATATTCACAATCCCCTCCACCCTTTATAGAACAATGATCAGATTTTACCTTAACCTCAGCAGACTTTATTTCTATGTGCAAATGCTTGGCATTGATTTGCATTTTTTCTTTTTATGTTACTTACTGACTTATCGGTCAACATTATTTACATTTGCTTCTGAATAATACTTTATTACTATTATTATTAAATTTATATTATTGCTATAAGATAACGAACCCATTCATTTAAAAGATCCTCCTAATAATCCCATTTTACATAAACAAAATCTTCATAATTGAAACCTTCATTCTTTAATTTAGTTTTGTTTTGATAAAAAAGAAAATGTTTTTTATTTATGTACTTTTTATTTTATTTTTGGGTAGGGCGTTTTTTTACAACGACCTTATATCAGCTATAGTTAAAAATCTAAACTACTGTATTCCAACTCAATAGTCTATTATTATATTACTTACTAGATTATGAACTCATTCCTACACAGGGTTGTGAATGTTCACTAGTGATAGATGATAAATTAGGATATGTTAATAACCGTTTTACTCTTAAAGAAAGAGGGATTTGAAGATCTTTCATGATATATAAACAGGTCTATTAACGAAGAGTGATGGTTGAAAGCTATCCATCTACGTTAAAGAGGAAGAATGTCTCATATCAACTCGGCGCCCAAATACTGTGGAACTATTCGATCAAATTTAGACGAAAGTTCTTATTTGTCCATCTACGTGCTTCAACATTTTTAAGATCTAAATAGATTTCAATTACTTATGATTATTACATTATAATAATGGACGAAGGAATAACACAGTCTTTCTTCCAAGTTCCATTAACTAAACTAAAATGATTTGTTTCAAATACAGTCTGAATTTATCCTTATAAACTTCTGAACAGTTAGACTAAAGATAAACAATAATCTTTTCCTGTTTTCACTCATCTAGTTTATATAGTGTAATCTACAGATTGAAGTTAATTCTGTATTTAATTATCCAGACCGTTGTTGAATAGTGTAATTACTAAACAAATGAATTATAAGTTAGTTGAATAAAGTTGTTGGCGAACTTCATAAGTCTCACATGTGACCTTCTTGGTAAAACTAGAGCATATCTTATCAATCTTCAAAAATGAATGAAAGCTACTACTGAATGAAACAAATTCATTTAATTAAAATATCCTAAATAAAGTGAGTCTAAAAAGTTAACTGGAGAGTAGGATATAATCTACTGGAGATCCATTTTATTTTTATTGATTTATACTTTTTCAGCATCATGAATTTGTAAACTTAATTTCTTTGCATAGAATTTTACATTTAAGTCAACCGGTAACACACAATGTGATCTATTATTATTAAGTGATTTTAAAAAAAGATAAATAAAGCCAAATGAAGTGGATACATGTTGATAGACGTATATGACTTACAATCTCACTATTAGGATTGGATTGGCAGATATTGTGATCTGTTTGTAAATTGCTACCATTATTATATTCATTAGTTTGTGGTCCGAAACGAGGGGCTCCTGGAACATAACCCTGTGACTGTGCAACAGGATATGGGTTATTTGTCGAGTGATTATCTCCTTCTGGTGAATATCTAAATCCAGGTTGATTGGAAGGTTGAAATCCTCCAGAAAGTGAATTAGGATAGTATCCTGATGTATAATCTGCACCTCCGACCATGGACCCTGGACCCCCACCCGCGAATCCTATTCCCCCATCTATTGGACCCTGTCCTCCTACTGAAAATCCTAATCCACCGGTTGGTAATCCCTGTCTCTTACCTGGGAACCCTGGTCCTCCGACCGGGTAACCTGGTTCTCCGACTGGGTAACCTGGTCCTCCAGCTGAATATCTTGAATTTCCATTTGGATAATTTGAACCTTGGTTAGGACATGTGTCTTGTGTTCCTGATAAGTTCCATGCACTCAAATCAGGGTAATTAGGATTCATTTAGCTATCAGATCAAAATGTAATAATCACTTTGTTTTTGTATCAATTAATTCATGCATTATTATTACCTAAATAAATCTTTTAAATATAAAGTTAACTAAACATTAATTGGTTAATCTCATCTGAATATGTGTAGGTGGACTTTCTGTTGAATGGATAATCAAACTTACTATAAATATCTTATTGAATTTCTTATTGGATGAACATTATGTAGTTAATTCTTTCAACAGTTTCGTCATCGTTGTTTCACTAATACTTTTTTTTCTGTAATAAGTAGTATTTTAATGAATCTCATAGTTACTTCAAATAACATGTTTATGAGTGAAAATGAATGATTTAACAATTTTCATTATGTCAATTTCACTGAACAAAATAGGATGTTGCTTTTTTTGGAGTAGATAGTCTCATTGCAAAGATTTAGATTTATCACCTACTTTATTGAAAATGGTGTTGAAAAGTATTCAGATTATTACATAATCAAAAGACATATAGATCCAGTTTGTCAAATTATGTAGGAAATGTAAATTAAACACATAGACAGAGGTGAACTTAAATGAACACAATTATGATAGTACAAAAGCACATGAAGATAATAATAGTTACTTTATTTATTTATTTGAACACATAAATATTGGTTCAAAGTGACACCGAATACATATACGTCACACAAGTCACTCGATTTGTGTGAGGGTTGGGATACTGCCCGTGTGCCCAAACCGAAGTACGTGTTTTTCTTAGGAGACCACAACCCGAGCCTTCGACCTAAAAGTCTAATCCATAAGGTAGTGGAGCAATATCAGGAAATGCAGTCCAGTGGGGGCCGGTGACCAACGATTGGTTCATACTCCATTTGTTCCTTCAGGAACTTGAAGCCTATGTGCACCATTGGTTTGGAATCAGGGTTCTCCAACTCCCCTGGGTGGAGCCTCCGTATCCGCCAACCAGGTTAAAGCACCGGACATTCGCTTTACATCTTCTCAATGTCGTAAAAAACATCTCCACCACGAGAAGGCAGTGAGTAGGACTTCTCTGTCAGTGATTGTATGCATGTGGCCACACGAGAGCATTTCGAGAGAGAACTGAATCTCATCACCCTCAGACATACCGGGGCATTTAGTGGCAATAATAAATACAGTATCATTTAACTATACTGTCTTTTATTGAAATAAAGAATTGTTCAACCCCCTATTGTTTTTTATAGTTTCTAGCTAATATCCTTCAATGACAATTGTCTACGATGGAAATCCACTTCAAATTCATCACTTCCTATAAACTCTTTACATTAATAAGAAGAAAAAAACAATGATTTTAATAAAGAAAACATTCTAAACTAGTCAATAATCTTAATTCTTACTACGTGTATATGTAATATGTTACATAATTTTTGATAGCTGTTGAATTGTACTTGTTAGTCGAAAAATTTCTTTAGTTTTCTTAAAGATCCTTGAATAACTTCAATAACAGTAAATGAGACACGTTCTGGAATCAGAAATAATAATAAAAAAATATAAATAAAATCACGATTAAGAATTAGACAAAAATAATTATCTCACAAGAAAAGATCAATACCGTATTGAAATGATATTTATGATGAGTGTGAAATGTGTTATTATATTTTCTAATTACTCTACTGAAAATGAATTCATTAACGGACAAAATTTCAGTAATGGTTGGAATAATTTTAAACTACCATTATGAGCAATCAGAAAGAAGTTAATATGAATAATTTACAATGTAAGTACGATATATGTAGTGTTATTATTTTTTAAGGGTTTCAGAATGGAATGATGGAGAAACTCATTACTTTTAATGAATTCTTTTGGACAGCGCACACTCAAAGAAAAAATGCCACTTTGTCGTGTATTTTTTAAAAATTCGTTCACAACGATCCTATGTACCTGTTATGCCCCGATAAGAATAATGAGTGGTAATTGTTGGGATCCATTTGTGGACCAATACTAAACGTATATTTTTATCGTATATTTGTTAAATAACTAAACTATTCATATTCATATTCCTCTTATCATAAGCTTTATTTTGACCTATGAACCATTATTATACGTTTTACCATTCTTGAATTATGTCCTGTTTATCAATCACTGCCTCCCACATTCACAGCCACATTTGGCCAAATTTTGTACAAATGTTATTTTCTATTTTATGGTACGTTGTGGTCTGTTTGATTGATATATAAACCAAGTATGTTTGAAATACACGATTTATATCGCAGAGGCTCGGATTAGTGTTCTGGACTTAATTTGCTGGGCTAGGCGAAAAACAGGGCTAATCAGGACTCTAGGCTGCTCGCACGTGTTTTACGCGTCCTTCATCCGAACGATAGTTCGCTGCTCTCTGATTGGCGGTATTATTACGTTGTACATTAACAGGGCACTCAGGCTACAATTTATAACAGTACCCGATTGGAGAAGTGTATTTTTGTTAATAATTCAATAATTTTAGAATTTTTGGATTTATACTGCATGGTAAAAATGTCAGATCTGCTCAAAGCCTCCCACTGTTTCGTTTAAATAACCTTGAACGGCTTGACATGAAGCGGACATTTCGTAATTCCACTGCTCTGAGTTTGTTGGATGTGTGTTTGATTGCATGCATATTTGGTGTTCTCATATTTAAGTGGTCTTTTGCGGCAGCAAAACCACAAAATAACTGCGAAGAACATTTATTTAGCTCTCTCTGTCTTGTAGTGCACATGTTTGGTCGATTGTTCCCTTGTAGCTTCCCAATCTCCTTATTGGAAAAACTTTGTCCGGTTTGTTTAGACTTTGGAGAAACCGCTATAGAAAACCTTTAGGAAATGGCGCAAAACTCCAGAAATTTTTCCAGGTCTGGGGAAAATCCTCAAAATATTTAAGGAAATTTGGAGTTTTCCCCAATATTTTCACAGGACCTTATTACACTTCGGGGTTTTCCCCAAACTTTGGGGAAAACTACTATATTTCTTACGACTTCGGGGAAAACGCTAAAATTTACCTAAAGTTTACCCTAGTTAGTGAGAACGGATTGATCTGGGATACTCATTTCTTTACTGAACCTCACCGCCTTTGTTTAAAATTTGATAAGTTCCAGAAAACAACGTAACAAAAGTAAGAATAACTTAGCAATTCTAGATACGCGGACTTTGTGAGGATCGCTGTTTTACTCAAGGATTAAGACGAAATATCAAATAACCGGTAAGTTTTAAATGTTAGTAGTACTTTCTTCAGTTAGTAAATTATTGTTGTGACAAATAACTGTTTTTTATTAATAACCAACTGCTGTTTGTTTTCAGCCAGTCAAAATACACAACTTTATACTTGTAATGTAAAAGAAATCTTGATCACTAGACCTCACTCGTGATCGTATTTACGCTAAGTTTAGAAATATACTAGTGTTATATCCAGACACAGAATAGGTGAACAGTAACAGCTAGGATCTAATTGTGGATTGTTATCGTATATATTCTTATTGTATAACCACAAAGTAACTTTACCATATGTATATTCATATTCTTTTATTGTAAGCTTCCATTTAACCTACTGACTACTATTACTAGTTACAGTATCTCACACTCACAGCTACCTTTTGGCTTGATTTTGTATTATTGTTATTTTCTATTTTATGGTATGATGTGGTCTGATTTGTTTGTATATAAACCCAGTATAACTGAAATATATGGTTCATATCGCGGAGGCTGAGATTGGTGTTCTGGCCTAAACCGGCTAGGTTAGTTCCGAAGCTACGATTTCAGTGGACCAATGAGAACTCAGAGCTGACTCTGGACTGTTCATACTGTTTTATGTGTTATTGGTCCGGTCAGTAATTACGTGTTCTAATGGACGATCGTATTACGTAATATATCAACTAGGGCATATGGACTTAACAACTAGAGATGATCTTTTTGATGATTATTTAGTTTGAAGGAGACATCGAAGTAGTGACTCTAAAAGGTAAACTTTGAGATCTCTGGGACAAAGTGCTCTACGGCCAAACTTTGTATTTTCTTCTCCAGTCAGACTTTAATTCTCGGTTGTGTGAATGACATGCTACCATTTTGAGACGTATTGAAGTGTATTTATGAGTTAACTTGGATGTACGGAGCAGGTCAAATCAGATATACAAAGCAAAATCTATCGGAACATATCTTTGGGTATTGTTCTGTCTGATTGTTAAAAGCATTACAAAGATCAATCAACATTTCAATTCTTGAACATCTCGTAAATACCGGCTACGTTTTTTCGATAGAATCCTCTTTAAAGGTCGTCCACACAATGTAACGAAGTGGTTCAAATATCACAAAACTCAAGCGTCTATATGAAATAGAGACCTCAGCAGACCTTAATCTTAACAGTAGTCTTCAACCTACCTCTTGTTTTCTATGCTAAATAACTATTTTTATCACTCGCTTATACTTACTTCATAATTATCATCAAGGTAATATTGTAACATATAATTATTCTATTGTTTGTATTCATCAACTAATTATTTTTCACCAGTTATAATTAGTTGGTCATTAAATAATTACTAATATCATCTAGACCGAGTCCTTCTTAGTGCAGATGGAATTCCATTGACTATTGGCCACGCTTCAACTTGATTGATAGCACTAAGAAGGACTTGACATACCGAATATTGGTCACTACTCAGTGATCAATCAGTTCACTTTAGTTTTACAGATGGATTGCGACCTGACTTGCTCAATGGTGAGGTCAGTGACTGTGTGTCTGGGTAACTCTAGATTGAATCGCCCAAAGGATATCAGTTCTCTCAAGATTACAGGTACATGCCGTTTGTTATTTCACATACTTGTTGAATAGTTGTGTGTTCATGTTAGAAAGCTTAGAAATTAAGTAATCGAATATAATAATCAACACTCTTGGATGGATGTTGAATCAATGGACTAATGGTTAAGCACTTGTTGACAGACTTAAAGGTTGCCGTGTAAACATAATGATTTGATGCTTTTTATCGACAAGGAAAAAAAAGAAAATAATTAAAATGAAGAATTAAGTCGAATTACGATTGAATCAATTTGTTCAGTCAACAACAAGACAAATTCAATGTTTGTTTGATGAGTTGAAT